TCGGTCATCCCCACTCATTATTAAGAGATGTACATCACAATGGACAAACAAAGTTTAGGGAATTGAAAACAAAAATAGAATTTTTCTGAAAAAATATATTACAAACTTTATAAAACTAAAAAATAATATTTTTCTGGTGAAAATAATAGTATATTATATACCTAGGTAGAGAAGTTGGTCCTTATATACCGAGCGCTTTTATAAACCGAGGCGCTCGCGCCGAGGTTTATAATGAGTGAGGTATATAATGACTTTCTCTACCGAGGAATATATAGAATTTTTTTTACTACTGCTAGTAGAAAATGAGAAATTTGCTTAAAATCTGTGCTCCAATTATTTTTTTTTTGAACGCCCTCTTGAAAGTGCTGCCCTCTATCAACAGCTTATGATAACTTCCTATGTACCTACAGAAACCTGTATTTTTTTTCAAATTGACGTATGAAAATGAAATTGAACCAATAGAAACATGAAAATATCCTTGCGTCATGACGTCATTTTCATTATTAACCTAGGTATTTTTTCATTATTTTCATTATTCACCTAGGGAGAGAAATTCAATTTTTTCCCAGAAAAATAGATTGAATAATGACAATTTCTCAGGTTAGTAGTAAAAAAAAGTATATAATTTACTCCATGAAAACTATCAAAAAAACTAAATATATTTACTTGGAATGAAATGTGGAAAAACAATTTCTCCCCTTCAAAACACAAAGGTGGACTTTGCATTTGATACAAAAAATATGTGCCCTATTCTTGCATTCTTCATTTTTGCATCTTGCTGCTTCTTTTTTGTCATCGTATTCTGGAGTATGATGGTATCCATCATATCTAAGGTTTCTTATTGGTCGTATTTCAGTTTTTTTTTTCTTAGAGGGCCCTGGATCATCAGTACTGGTTGATGGCCTACCTCTTTTGAGAACATGTCTTCCGCAGATTAGACTTTCGGCCACTTCTTGACGAAAAGCTAGCAAATCGAGAATTTGTTTTTGATTTACTCCTAAAAGGATGGCTTTCTTCCTATATTCAAGCCATGAGTTCGCTAGCCCTAGATCAATAGCATGTGTTATCATCCTCACTGTCCATTTTTTGGATCTGACATAGGATCGATATAGGCTCAATAAGAAGTCAACTTTATCGACGCCGCCCATGGTACAGTTGTATATTTTGATTGCCTCAGGCCTATCTACCTGCATGAATTCTTTTTTTGTTTTGTCCCATCTTCGACATGAGTCTTTCTCGCCAATACCAACAAAGTTGGAAGCTACCAGCACTGGCTTGTTGTCGTACCATTTAGTGATAACGATGCCATGTTTGCTAACTGAGGTTGCAGAAGAGCCACGTCCTTTTTTTTCATATCCTTATCACTGGGAAGCCTTGGATTAGCGAAACGATTCACTCTTATTGTTCCTATAGCAAATATAAATTTTGATTCGAGATATTGAAATAGATTATAGGCCTATTCGGGTTTGGAAAAAATACGGTTCTAGAACGGTCCAGAAGAATCGCACAGTTTATTATTGAAATTTGTGATAGTCGAGTCGTTGCTATTTTGTTGATCAATAAACTGGACGATTGTTTTGAACCGTTCTAGAACCGTCCTTTTTCCAAACCCGAATAGGCCTAATATGTACTGAAAAAATTGTTAAAAAATAGTCCATGGTTTTTCTCAGTTATTCTATCACTGAGTTGCATCACTACAGCAGCTGCTGATCCATATTTTCCATAGAGAGGATTCAAGGGTGTTGTTGAACCTTGGTAGATTAGGAAATCGTATATCAAGCCACTCTTGCCAGCCAAAACGTAGATTTTGATGCCCCATTTTTTAGGTTTGTTTTTCACGTACTGTTTGATGTTTATCTGCCCCTTGAATGGCACCATCTGTTCGTCAACAGAAAGGTTAGTTTCTAATGGCAATTGCAGACATCTACTTCTCACAGAGTCGTACAAGCATCTGACTTTCCATAACCTATAATCAAAGAAGACGATAAGTGTCATTTATTCGAAGGAAAATGAGGAAGAAATCCAGTTCGATTATCTTCAAACCTACCTGTCATTGTTGTTTTCTTCGCGGCTGGTGATATCGACTAAGTGAATTGCTTGTCGCAACTTGTAGAATGTGGATTGGCTCATGGCATCTCTCACCAATGGTATTCCCATGCTCCGGTGCCAGTACATTGCCACACGAGGGAACTGTAAGTTCTCCATTGCAATATGAATCCCAATAAACGTTTTGATTTCATTCAAGTTGTTGGTGGAAACCTAGCTATATTTTGTTGCGTGGCATACAAATTTGTAAAATCAGGCATTTGTTGAAATAGATTATCTGGGACATATTTCAAAAAGAAGCAAATTGGGGCCGGTAAATCTGTTACAGGGCTTGTAGGAATAGGCGAATTCCATTGAATATTTCTGGTTTCGTATCGCACATTTTCACCCTGTATCCACTCTATTTTTGATTTATCAGTAAGATTATGTGTTTGCTCGAAAATTTTTACTTCATTTTCCAGATTATCATTCTCACGAATTCTATCATTCACAGTTTCATCTATCAATTCATTAGCCTCAACATCACTTGCTTCATATTCGTCTATATCCTCATTGTTTGTTTCCATTATTTCATCTAAAAAATTATCTTCTGTTTGTTTTTCAGGCATATCATCATCTGAATCTGAGAGGAAATCAATATCGGAGGCTTCATCATTTTCTCAATAGAATAGAAGCTCGTCATCTGTGAGCTTCTTTGTATATTTTCGTGGCTTTGACCTTATCTGAAAAAAAAAATGTATGTCCATAAACTGTGTTTGTCCACCCTGATGTACATAACAATTCAATCAAAATCTGGGGATTTGATAAGATATTAAATGATTAATGAAATGTAAATGATGAAATAGTTATTGAATTGATATTTTTACTCACCAATAATTAGTCATAAAACTCAAAATTCCACCAATTTCATAAAAAAAACACAGATAATAAGGACTGACCTAAAAACCACCTGTTCATATCACACTATATTGCATACTAACAAATGATCAAAGTCACCCTGAAAAAGTTTGGCGCACACGCTATCGTCATACATGGGTTTGAATAGGATGTACAGTCTGATGTACAAACAGAGTTTGCACATAATAATCATGCCGGGCTTCATATATCGCAACATAATTCAATGTACATGGTGATGTACAAAAATAGTGAAAGGTGAAACACTAATGCCCTTAAGGTCCCGGTCTTTTTTTATATCATTGCTTTTGTATTATTCTCAAGAATTTTCAACAATGGACCTTTTAACTTCTGTAACCTTTTAACTTTCTGATATTATCAAGGATACCCTACAGACCAAAAACGCACGCAACAAACGTTTTCATAAATATTCAAAAAAAAGTTACAGAAGTTAAAAGGTTCATTTTTGAAAATTCTTGAGAACAAATGATGAAAAAAAATGGAACCTAAGGCCACAATAATTGTATTAATAAAATCTCTTCGAAATGGGCCTATCTATACGCCCACCAAGTCTGGCTAACCCTCCGCCAAACACCCTGTATATTGAGACACCTCAAGTAGGTTAGTGACAGTGGATTTTCTTTCAAAAAATCCATGTTGATGGGGAACTATTTGGTTCTTGACAGCAGGAAATATCTTATCAAAGAAATTCTAAAACTTCACAGAAGTTACAAATGAGAGAGACTGGCCTGTAGTTTGTAGATCTCCGCTCTATTATCTTTTTTACAGGAACAACTTTCGAAGTTTTCCATAAACTAGGGATTGTTTGGTACTTTAGGCATAAGTTAAATAGCACCATAAGTAGCCTAACCAGAACAAAACGAAAATCGTGTATAAGGAATGCAGGGATTAAATCTGGGCCTGTGGTAAATTTGGGTTCAATTTTCTTGAGAGCCCTCGCAACATCATCCTCTGATTAAAGCTAAAAATTTCTCAAATGGATTCACTGAAAAGTCAACAAAGGAAACGTAAACAAATTGATTTGCGTATACCTATACGAATTCCGGACCATTAAAAAGTTGGTAATTGTTAAAAATTGATATGGTTATGTTTAAAATATTACTTTGATTCACTTTTTCATCTACCTATGACAATAAATTCCAAAGTGCCTAAAGATAAAAGGAATTACTCAATAGGCTCGATGCTAATAACTGAACATTTTTTCCACACGTTGTTTATTATCCCTAGAAGCGGGGAGGAGCTGGTAATCCAGATTTCACTATTAGTCCAGGTAATGGGTATTTTTTGCGAGGAAAAAATAGTATTAGGCAATCCAAACACGTGGCATTCAAGATGGTGTGGCGGCCACACATGGGTCAAACTTAATTTTTTAGTCGTCTGCTGTCTGCTGTTTTTTCGGAGTTTCACAGTTTTATGTGCTTTAAGGTGTATTTGTTAGGGGTACATCTGTTAAGTGCAATACAACAAAACATTATCATTATGCAGAGCCTATATTTGCAAGAGCTTGGTGCCCAGTAAGGATTATCCACATCCTCTAACTTACTTATTGGTTTTGCCATTATCAAACCATGATAGTTGAAGACATGATGCATAATAGCACTCGTTTATTTTGTGAAAAAATGCATACTACAAACTCGTTGATTTGCCACTTTAGGTTGTGAAAAATCGTTCCGTTTGATTGCCGCTAACGGCGCTATTCGTCTTTTTCCTGATAGTTAATTTAAATCCGGAAAACTTACTGAAATGGGCAGGCTTGGTATCCTTTAGGTTTGAGACACATTGTCCCTTTCTCGGAGGCTTCCACATCCCACAACCACACTTATTCGGCATTTTACAACAATAAAACTAAACACAAAAGATATCTAGTTTCTGCCCGACTTAATAGGTAACGTAGCAGTTCGATTCGAGATCTTGTTTGGTATACAAGTGTATTTATCGGCTTATCGGAATTCGTTCTTTTTTATCATATTTTACCGGAGAGTCGGTGTTAAAAATTTGCGATTTAATCAAATAATAGTGCTAAATAATAAATATTAAAAATGCCTCCCCCGGATGGGGAGGGCGTGGAAGGGACGTTAAATAATGCCCTAAATGACTCTGGTGGTAGTGACAATACAATGGAAATACCCGAAAATTACGGAAATAATGTTGCACCAACAAAACAACCAGATAACGATCAACCCAAAAAAATGTTTAATATATTTTCGGATAAGTACAATATTAAATTTATTTACGTTATGATAGAAAGCACTGAGTCAGAAAACTTTGGTAGAATACATCCTTTAAAAGTAGGACATATTTTACATAAAAAAATTATTCTTAAAAAATATTATTGAATTCAAAAGTATGGGTAAAAACAGGGTTAGAGTACAGCTTCACTCATTAAAGGATGCTAATGACTTATTAAGTAATAGTGCCTTAAAAGCAGAAAAATTGCGAGCCTTTATTCCCAATCATATACTCGAATCCAAAGGTATTATAAGGGGTGTCGATACATTTTTTAGTGAAGAATATATTTCAACTAATATTAAATCATCTTCTCGCTTAATTAGTGTCAAACGTATGGAAAAAAATGTAACCGATAAAGATGGGCAGTCAATAAAAGTCAAAAAACAAATGGTTCTTTTAACCTTTGAAGGTAATTTACTACCAAATGATGTAAAAATAAATAGCGTGTCATTTCCAGTTGAAAGATTTTACGGTAGGGCTGCTCAGTGCTTCAAGTGTCTTAAATTTGGTCATATATGAAAACAATGTCGCGCTAAAGACTCATTGTGTATATCCTGTGGTCAAATGGTGATCGAAAATACAGTTCATAACTGTGATACAGCAGATGTTTTCTGCATACACTGCCAAGTACGAAACTCTCACAAATCTGTCTCTCCAAAATGCCCCTATTTTAAAAAACAACAAAAGATCAGAACAATCATGGTGGATAACAACATTACTTTTACCGAAGCTGAGAAGCTTTGTGAAAACTCTTTTGCAACTGTTACTACTAGTAACAGATTTAATAATTTGGAAAATCTAAGTGACTATCACACTAATTTTCCCCCTTTAAGCAATAAATTTACAAAAAGCAGTTTAAGTCAACCTAATCCCTCACAGAGGCGTTCACTACCAGCAAATATCCTGTCACATTCACAACCATCTACATCTTCCTGTACAAATATAAACAAAAAACGAAAAATTAATATTTTAAATTCTCCAGAACCTATGTTTCCCTTTACTTTTGGTCCCTCTACCGCCTTAGCACCGAATACACTTAGTAATCAAGATATTTTAGAAAAGGAAAAAAATAATCTTATAAATAGTATATCAGGTTATGTAATAAGTTTACTTGGAAAAATTAAAACAATAGAAGATATTAAAAATATTAAATTAGATAGCCTTAAAACAGAAATGGTTGAACTTATTGTAACTTCCACTTATAACTCGTAATCCGAATGGCTAATTCAACTCAAATCAAAATAATGCAGTGGAACGCTCGTTCCCTAATATCAAATAAACAAAGTTTTGAAATTTATTTAAATAAATACAATATTGATGTTGCTTTAATTTGTGAAACCTGGCTCAAGCCAGGCCACAATGTAAGTTTTAAGGAGTACCATATTATAAGGAAGGATAGAGCAGATGGTAAAGCGGGTGTAGCTATATTAATTAAAAAAAACCTAGCGTACCGTATCATAACTTTAGACCAGAATTTTAATACAGGCATTAATATCTGCGGTGCCACAATTTTAGTTGGTGACAAAAAAGTAACCTTTTTATCAGTGTACAAACCACCTAATGTGAATACCTCCTTTAGTGATTGGAGCAACATTAGCTCTCAAATTTTACCTCCATTTATAGTCGGTGATTTCAATGCACATAGTACCTTGTGGGGTTCACACAAAAATAACTCTACTGGAATACAAATTTCAAAATTAATTGATGATTTTGACTACATACTTTTGAACACTGGTGATAGTACAAGGGTGCAACGGCCGGGATGCAACAAATCGGTTTTAGACTTGAGTTTTTGCTCACCAGATTTAGCTTCCAAAGCACTGTGGAGCATTGAATCAGATACATTGGGATCTGACCATTTCCCGATAAATATACTACTTGAATATAACAACGCAAATTTTTCTGAGATAATTCATCCAAAAACAAAGTGGAATGTTAATAAAGCTAACTGGAATGGTTACTATACTTATATAGATCAATTGATGTTAAATACCCCTAACTTTGTCGATAATATTGAAAAATATGATTTTCTCACTGAATGTATTAACACTGCTGCTGACCTATTTATACCTAAACTTAAACCATTTTTAATTAAAAATAAATTACCAGCTCCATGGTGGGACACACAAGATTGTGACCCTATGTTGCTTAGACGAAAGGAAGCCCTGAAATTATATAAACAAAACCCAAGTATGGAAAATTATTTAAACTGCCAAAAAGTGCAAGCTGAAACTAAAAAGTTTTTTAAGTCTAAAGCTAGAGCCAGCTGGTGTAATTGGTGTTCCAATTTAAATAAAAATACTCCCTCCACCAAAATATGGTCGCAAGCACGTAAAATGAACAGAGTAACTGCATACAAAAAACCAGAAAAAGATGACTGGTTAAATGAATTCTATGACAACATAACACCTCCCTCTGTCCTACCCAAACCCCCTAACATTACTTTCTCTATAGATCACAATCATTTCCTATGTAGACCTTTCTTAATTTCTGAATTAAACAATGCCATTAAATCAACTAATAACACTGCCCCTGGGTATGATGATATTAAATATTGCATGCTGCAAAATTTACCTTTAAAGGCCCAGGAAATGTTGTTGGACCTTTTTAATGAAATATTCATTCATGGTATCACAATAAAAGAATTCAAAAAAGTTTTAGTTGTGCCTATCCAAAAACCTAATAAGGATCCAAATGATGCAAAATCATATAGACCAATTTCATTGTTATCTTGCGTTTTAAAAACACTTGAAAGACTTATAAAATCTAGATTGGAATTTTGGCTTTTTAATCAAAACTTACTTCCGTCTAATCAGTTTGGTTTTAGAAAGGGTTATGGCACAATAGATGCTGTCACGTATATTGTTACAGACATACAAAACTCGTATTCAAAAAATGAATATTTCGCATCGCTGTTCCTTGATATAACAAGTGCCTATGATTCGGTGAATCTCGATATTTTAGAACAAAAACTAATACAATATTTTCGTATACCAAACAATATTGCATTTTCCATCGTAAATATATATCGAGATCGACGTGTTTACTTAAGAAATAATTCTAATGATAGGTTAGGTCCGAAACATGCCTTTTGTGGTTTACCACAGGGGTCAGTCTTGAGCCCCCTTCTTTTTAATTTATATACAGCTGACCTGCATAAAATAACAAATTTAAGTATCGTGCAATATGCTGATGACCTTTGCTTCTATACACAACATCTAAAATATAAGCAGTCAATACATTTATTAGAGGAAGGACTTTATAAAGTACTTAATTGGCTCGATGATAATGGTTTCGATCTCTCAGTAAATAAATCTAATTTCTGCCTTTTTACAAGACATAATACTCCTATAACACCCACCATAAATCTATGCAATCTGGATATCCCTTTCAAAACAGTAGTTAAATATTTGGGTGTTATGATAGATAAGAAACTCACTTGGAATCCACACATTGAATCAATAATTACTAGAAGTGAGAAAGGTTTAAATTTTCTTCGAAGTGTCTGTAAAACTTGGTGGGGCTGCGGCGTCAAAACATCCCTTATGTTTTATAGAGCAAATGTTAGATCTATTATCGATTATGGATGCACCTTGTATGGATCAGCAGCAAAAACACATCTACAAAAAGTTGACAGAATACAATATAAAGCATTAAGATTATGCCTAGGAGCTATGAAGTCAACTCCAATTGAACCACTGTTGGCAGAGGCTACTGAATTACCACTGCCTTTAAGACGTGAGCTCCTTAGTGCCAAGTTCCTTTTAAAACACTTTCTTTTACAAACACCACTATTAGAAAATATATCGATATTAAATGTCTCAGACTTAACAAATACCTTTTGGCAGAAAAAAAAATCACCTCCGCTATATCTAGCTTATAGAGATTATAATTCTCTCTTTAATAGTGTTAACACTCACTCAATTTTGGGTATAGAATATTTTAGTCTGGCCCAGAATGTAACTGTAAAGTTTCCTCAATATACAGAAATACCTACTATAAACATAAACATTTTGCGTGCTGAGCTTTCACAGTATGAAAATGCTTTGCACATTTATACCGATGGATCTAAAAATAAGGATGGTGTTGCAGCCGCCTTTTATGCGTACAATAGGAAATATAGCGTAACAAAAAAATACAAAATAGACAGCGACATATCCATTTTTACTGCTGAAGCCATTGCTATACTAAAAGCAATTGAGCTCATATCTAATACTAAATATAACACAAACATAATCATATCGGATTCCAAATCAGTACTAACAGCTCTCTATATTTACGTACATGGTCCTATAAAATCAATACAGTCCTACATGATATCAAAAAGCTCTGGTATCGATTACAGAAAAAAGGCAAACGAATTATCTTTATCTGGGCGAAAGCTCACATGGGCCTTTATGGTAACGAATTAGCCGATCACCTCGCCAAAGAAGCAGTTCACAATGGGGACATCGTCCATATCCAGCCCTGCGTATCGGAGGGTAGCAGAATGATCAAAAATAGTATAATCAACAAAAGAAAACGTAATTGGGAAACATTTGTTAGTAACAGTCAAACCAATTATGCTCTAATCCAACCAACTCTACTACCAAAACCTTGGTATGATGAGATGAATGTAGCTAGAAAATATATTACAACCATCAATAGACTTCGTTTTGGGCATGCGTGCTTTCCAGCACACCTTTTTAAAATTAAAATAAGCAATTCGGACATATGTGACTTCTGTTATGTTCGTTCCGACTTAAATCATTTGTTTTTTCAATGCTTAAAATACACACAACAAAGAGAAAACTTTTTTCAAAACCTTTTCCAAGTTAAGAACATACAAAGCCCTTTTAACATTCTCAACTTGTTAGCTCAATCTGATACGCGTATTAATAATATCATTATGACCTTTGTACACGAGTCTAATCTACAGCTGTAAAATTTAAAATTATAAATCGATAGATAGATTTTTAATAGTTAGTTTAGCTTCCCTTATGTGTCCTTTCCGTGGCCTATTTGTTTGTCAATACAAGTCGCCTTGACAGGTCCCTGGGCGTGAAGTGAGTGTCCCTGTCCTTATGGGGTTAGATTAGTTTAGTATTTATTTTTAATAATATATATATATATCTCTTTAGTAACTGGCTGAATGACTGCTTAGTCAAAGTCACAAAAAAAAAAAAAAAAAAAAAAAAAAAAAAAAACGTAGGTACCTATAGTCAACTAATATTTTATTAAATAAGCAAAATCAAACTTGCAAGCAAAACTCGTAGCAAAATAACTAAAACACACATAAAAAACACATATTCAAAATAAACTTGCTTGGCCGCCACACCATATTAAATTTTGTAACTGACAGATGGATTGGATTGCCTAATAGCTTTTAAATTTTGACAGTTTGTTCAGATGGACATAGTGAGTCGGAATCTCATTTTGCAGCAGTGGGGGGAGGACTCGCTGAATGAGGGCGGTTTAAAAAAAAATGGCAGTTGTGGTAGAGCACTGAGAGAACAATTTGGTAACCATAACAAGCAATCGTTAATTGATATTATCAAAAATCACTCCCTTATTGAAATATGGCTTATTAAACATTTATTTCACCCAACCAAATAACTTGGTTAAAAATTTGCAAATATACTTTAGTTTATAAAAACTCATGGGTTATTTATAGTTACCATCACCTTTATTATTACTTAGAGTGAGATACTTAAGATAACCCTAATTTGTATCTGATTCAGCATTATCATCTTCAGCATAAGATGCATAGTCAGATTTTTCAATTTGGGTTAACTGAGTTGGCATCGGAGTTAATTCTTCTAGCTTCTTCACCGATTTTTTGACGCGTTCCAGATTGAGTGAGTGCCATGCGATGATTGCGCTGCGTCTTCAAATGAACTAAACTGACCATCAATTATGGCGGCACGATCGAATCCTGGAATAAATCCATATTTATATTTAACGTTTATTTTGGTAGTATTGAATATTTATTTATAAATAGTTAACAAAGCCTACTGGAACTGATTTGTTAATAGATAAGAAACTGATATTGATAAATATTGGATATCTTTTTTTAGCTCACACGCCTTATTTACTATTAGTAAAATAACAAGTACCTAATAGTTAATAAAGGATTTTTTGTGACATTTTATTAATTGTTTAATAAATGTAATAAAATTCAAAATATTCCTCAAATAAATCTTTTTGTTTTTATAAATACTAGTAAAAAGTTA